ATTTCCATTTAAACAGACATCAGATAGCAGTGTAAACTTTTAACACATAAATACAAAGTGCGGTGCTTTCATGGAGTATGTGCCTACACACAATGCCTTTAGAAAGTGGTCAAATGTAACATATTATACTCATGCCAATAATGGTTGTCACTCCCCCTCCCTCCCCACACACACCTCACACCTCCACCCCACACCCCCTCTCCAATTAAAAAAATTGAAGGGGGTGACAACCATTATTGGCATGAGTATATATTTGTGATTTCACTTTCTCAGTTAAATACAGATTGTAGATTAAGCTGTAGCCTACTGTACTTGGAAAGGGTAAATCCCAAATTGTACCATATGTTACATGCAACCACTTTCTAAATGGCATTGTGTATTCAAATGCTTCGGCTTTGGAAGCCGTGCCAAATTCTACTTGCCAGGAGGGTAGAGTGAGTGAAAGCTGTTTTACGCCGCAGCAGCAGAGTGATGTCACGGTACGGAACGGTTACTATGGTACAGCCTGGTCAGTACGGACTACGGTCTGAATAGGAAACCGACAATAAATTAAGAACATTAAACGCCACTGCTTGAAATCCTGATAAAAAGTTCTTACCTCAAACAGAAACTGTTTTTTCAGAATTCCTCCAGAATGAAGGCCGCTCTTCTCGTGCTCATCCTCATCCCGCTGACGTGCGGTAACATCCTTGACAGTGAGTGATGCTACGACGTTTCTGGGGACTTTCCTGGGTATTCTTTGATTAAGTTGCCAACATATAAACGCCATGACTCCCTCTCGATAGTACTATTCTGAGTATATGATGAGTATGTGTTTGTTCGACGCCGTATTCAGCAGTGTTACAGCTGTACGGCGCGGTCTGTAAACAATCCAGTCTGGACCAGACAATCCAGTGATTGTCACCATGCGATACGATGATACAGAGCGTGTGCTCCACGCCGTATTCAGCAGTGTTACAGCTGTACGGCGCGGTCTGTAAACAATCCAGTCTGGACAAGACAATCCAGTGATTGTCACCATGCGATACGATGATACAGAGCGTGTGCTCCACGCCGTATTCAGCAGTGTTACAGCTGTACGGCGCGGTCTGTAAACAATCCAGTCTGGACAAGACAATCCAGTGATTGTCACCATGCGATACGATGATACAGAGCGTGTGTTCCACGCCGTATTCAGCAGTGTTATATTTTTGAAAGTTTCAGATCTGTCAATTTGTCTGTATGATTTCCTCAAACATCTGAGTGGCACTGCGAACAAACCTTCGCGACTGTGACCGCTATCTTTGTTGACACTGGCAAGCTCGGATGTAACGGCGGCTTAGCTGATTGGCTACTGTGAGAATGCGGAGCCAGCCAAGGGAGGTAATAAAATCATCGGGCCAAGCCGTGGATGCACCCAGGGTATAGTGGAGATTTATCGTAACGTATACCCTGGAGATTATCGAGGATGGCAGAGGGAATGTATTCAACCCTGTTTACGTGTGTGTGTATTTATGTGTTAGCATCTTTACTCAAAACCTACCAGGTGGATTTCAAGGAATCTTACTGGATCCCAGGACAAATCAATTAGATGTTTAAGAAAGTACACTCTTCAAAAACTGAAACGCAAAAGCAAAATATCATCTAAACAAATGGCGTCTTATTCAATTATTTAAATCAACGAAAGTAAACTGTACAGCATTGAAATTATTTAGAGCAATACATTGGTATCTCGTGCACATTTCACAAGAATGATAGTCATCATAGTCATTACTGCCGTCCACGGGGTGATGTGGACGTTACTTGTAATCGTCCAATGGCAATATTTCGGTCAGCACCGTTGGGACGTCCCATTTTCTCATCGAGTATTTGCAAGGGTCTCTAATTAATTTGCGAGATGCATTTTGGGTCTTTTTATAGTCATAGATTGTACTCATGTTTTGCAAGTGAAAAAGCCATCATGGCGGCTTTGGTTGTGTTCCATAACAGTCAAGTTCATCATGACAATCATGATCGATAAAATCATTCAAAATCGCTTATGGTTGCATTCGCTCACGCATATTCGTCTAAACCATACCAACAGCAATATTCAGTCCTCAAAACATGCTTAATTTGACATATTCGATCATTATTTTCAAATTGTATTTTGCGTCTTTTGAAGAGTGTATGTTAAAGTACATGTACAGAGAGGTGCTTTGAAAATAATGGCAATGTTAATTAAATGGAGAATATGAATAATATATAAGAAAGTTATGGATGTATTTGAATGAATCTTGGTGGTTATGTTAGGTATCACACAAATACTATCTGTGTTGGTGAATGAACATTAAAGTACAAATACACAGTAGTACTTTAAAAATGTAATAGTGAAAGGAGATTGCTGTGCAAGGCGGAGGCATGTTCTCTCACGAGGGCCCCTACGAGTTTCCAAATTAAGAAATAATATCCGTAGAATACATGCTTGTGTTTGTATGACAAATAATAATGTCAAGGTTTGTATTTCAACAACATATTTTGTTCTTGCAGGTTTATGACGGATTGATTGACTATGCAAGTTACTTAACAATTGGAAAGTTAAGATATATATACTAGTGCACCTTATATATTGCACTTGTATACCCCACTTGTAATATGTAGTTATCTATTCGCTGTGATGTAAATTCTCACTCAAATGTATTAATACATTCAGTTTATATTGACTGCAGATTTGGCTTTATGTCATTTGTCATTTAATTACCCAGACACGAGTGGCAGTGTGTCAATTCTGACTACTGGTAGGCCTGATTTGACACTTGTGCACGACTATATGATAGTCACATTAACCTAACCTGGATACTATTATTACTACAAAAGTGTGTCATGGTAGTTTATATTATGAAATTGGAGAATACATTAATTGAATAAATGGTTTCCATTGATATAGGTCAATACTGGTGTCCGATGAAGGAAAGACAATATTTGATAAATTTATATGATTATGTCATATTTTAAGTCACCAAATTAAAATTAGAAGCATATTATGTGGTTATCGCTATGTCATACATCATAAGCTGCATTTTGATATGCTACATGACTGTGTTGTAATAGATTTATGAAAACATGTTGTGTGGTTATCTCTATGTCATACATCATAAGCTGCATTTTGATATGCTACATGACTGGGTTGTGATAGGTTTATGAAAACATGTTGTGAAAACAAATGGTGCCGCAAGCAATTTGGGGAACTCATATTCAATGACCCCACAATGACACTTATAGCAAACAGAAAACTGGAACCATGTTTTCCTGAATCCATACACAATAGTAATTACAATTAGTATTGGTTAAAAAAAATAACATGTAATTCCGACGGAATTACACAAGCCCCTGCACTAATCACAATAACTATTGCCTTTGAGTGTATATGTAAATGTGTTATGCATAATGATCTTACACGCAATGTTGAGAAACGTGGAATGGCACGTAGAAAATTTCAAGAAATAAAACATTATTGTGTTTACTTTGAATTTATAGCAGGTTAACCTTTACAAAAGGTGAAAAAGCCTACGATTTATCTTGAAACGAAAGAAAATTTCATTTGCTCGACGCTCTTTTCGATCAAGATTACAACATTCAAGGCCCCAGTAAAACTTTCAAATATTTTATGGTAGACATGCGGAGGACTTTTAGAAATTTGATGCACCAGTAACAAAGATGATGTCCGATTCAATTCCCCTACTTTGACTTATACCATACGTTCCCGAATTATGTCAGGTGACAAGACTTAGGATATGTTTATGACGGGTGCCACTGATGTGGCAGGATACGCTCACCTTATCGCGAACACCTGTTATCATCACTATTTCATAGTGATTCATGAACATATTAAAACGCGAGTTTTGGGGAATCAGCTCGCTTGGCAAGAGGTCTGCCCATACCAACCCACACAACACAACACCTGAGTAAATAAACTCAGAGTTTATTAAACAGCAGTCACTGAACGATTTTACATAATCAGTCAATAATGGTATGGTTTACAATTAATTATTAAGCATTGTTTATTTAATACTGATTGACACTACAGTGACTTTTATAGAATGTTTATAACATAGTGTGTCGGATATTTTTAACTATTGCACTACGTGCAAACACTGCTGTTTAGTGACTGTTGTAGAATGCACATTGTATGAACGCCCACTGCCAAGCGAGCTGATTCCCCAAAACTCGCGTTTTAATAAACACATGCTCTGTCACCGCATGATGTCAATCACTGGATTGTCTGGCCTAGACACGATTCGTTTACAAACAACATCATACAGCTGTAATACAGCTGAAACAAATATATACTCATGATATAGTCACAATTGTACAATCGACTCTGCTTTAGCAGAGATTTAATTTCTTATGGATGTGGAAAGGGTTTTGTCGCCACTATTTTCATGAAAAACGGCATTCTGATGTCGAGAAACACGTTTATTTCCTGATTAGTATTTTTACATCACTCTTTCTAGATGATGTGGAACTGCTGGATAAGGGACTGGAGTCTGGAAAAATATAGAGAAAAAGTTTAATTATATACAGTCTTAATATTATATAACTTGATGACAATCGACTCTGCTTTTGGCAGGGATTTCTTATGAATGTGGAAATGATTTTGTCGCTTCAGTTTGAGAAAAGCGGTCATATTATGGCCGTGTGACCATGTTGAGTTAAACGACATGCGTTTGAACATAAGCTCCACCACATGAAAATGTCTTTACGTTTTAACGCCACAATCAGAACTTACAGGCTTTTTGAATGGCCACGGAACCTTTACTACGGATTACAAACAAATGTTGAATACTGTAAAGATGTTGGATATAGACTTCGCAATATTTCTGCAATATCGTGGCTGAAATACAAGCAAAATGGTTTCATGCATTGTACCCATGTATGGAAACGAACCCATGTTTTCGGCGTGACGGGCAAACGCTTTAACCACTAGGCTAACCCACTGCCCTAATGATGGGGCTCCACTCACGATCTGCAGATGAGGTCGCAGCCGCTGGAGAGGAGCGCATTGTGCATCAAGATGGCTGTGCACTCTGTCTCACAAGCGGCCTCGGTGCCGTTAGATCCCACGTTGTCAGCAATCTTCTGGACAACGGCCTTCAGCTCTCCACGTCAAACAATTTGAGGAACTCTGAATATAAACACATAATTATGTGGATGTGAATTTGTCATCATTAAATACACTTACATCTTGCCCAAAAGATAAATTGTAAACATGTATTTGCTCAAAGGGATCAAATGTTATAGATATACAAGGTATTTTAAGACACTCACATGAAAGCGAAATATGTGTCAAATTATGACATCCAATGAGAGCGGATGTTGGTTGATATTATCCAATGAGAGGATGTGTTATATGATACTCACGGTCGATGAAGTCACAGTATGAGGCATCGAGGAAGTATGTTTGAAGCCAGCCAATGAGAGCGGGTGTTGGTTGATATTATCCAATGAGAGGATGTGTTATATGATACTCACGGTCGATGAAGTCACAGTATGAGGCATCGAGGAAGCATGTTTGAAGCCAGCCAATGAGAGCGGGTGTTGGTTGACATCATCCAATGAGAGGATGTGTTATATGATACTCACGGTCGATGAAGTCACAGTATGAGGCATCGAGGAACCATGTTTGAAGCCAACCAATCAGAGCGGGTGTTGGTTGATATTATCAATGAGAGGATGTGTTATATGATACTCACGGTCGATGAAGTCACAGTATGAGGCATCGAGGAAGTATGTTTGAAGCCAGCCAATGAGAGCGGGTGTTGGTTGATATTATCCAATGAGAGGATGTGTTATATGATACTCACGGTCGATGAAGTCACGCCATGAGGTAACGAGGAAGTATGTTTAAGCCAGCCAATGAGAGCGGGTGTTGGTTGATATTATCCAATGAGAGGATGTGTTATATGATACTCACGGTCGATGAAGTCACAGTATGAGGTATCGAGGAAGTATGTTTGAAGCCAACCAATGAGAGCGGGTGTTGGTTGATATAATTCATGAGAGGATGTGATATATGATATTCACGATCGATGAAGTCACGCCATGAGGTAACGAGGAACCATGTTTGAAGCCAACCAATGAGAGCGGGTGTTGGTTGACATCATCCAATGAGAGGATGTGATATATGATATTCACGATCGATGAAGTCACGCTATGAGGTAACGAGGAAGTATGTTTGAAACCAACCAATGAGAGCGGGTGTTGGTTGACATCATCCAATGAGAGGATGTGTTATATGATACTCACGATCGATGAAGTCACAGTATGAGGCATCGAGGAAGTATGTTTGAAGCCAGCCAATGAGAGCGGGTGTTGGTTGACATCATCCAATGAGAGGATGTGTTATATGATACTCACGATCGATGAAGTCACGCCATGAGGTAACGAGGAAGCATGTTTGAAGCCAACCAATGAGAGCGGGTGTTGGTTGACATCATCCAATGAGAGGATGTGATATATGATATTCACGATCGATGAAGTCACGCTATGAGGTAACGAGGAAGTATGTTTGAAGCCAACCAATGAGGGTGTGTTGGTTGACATCATCCAATGAGAGGATGTGATATATGATATTCACGATCGATGAAGTCACGCCATGAGGTAACGAGGAACTAGGGTTTGAAGCCAATCAATGAGAGCGGGTGTTGGTTGACATCATCCAATGAGAGGATGTGATATATGATATTCACGATCGATGAAGTCACGCCATGAGGTAACGAGGAAGCATGTTTGAAGCCAACCAATGAGAGCGGGTGTTGGTTGACATCATCCAATGAGAGGATGTGTTATATGATACTCACGATCGATGAAGTCACGCCATGAGGTAACGAGGAAGTATGTTTGAAGCCAACCAATGAGAGCGGGTGTTGGTTGACATCATCCAATGAAAGGATGTGTTATATGATACTCACGGTCGATGAAGTCACGCTATGAGGTAACGAGGAAGCATGTTTGAAGCCAACCAATGAGAGCGGGTGTTGGTTGACATCATCCAATGAAAGGATGTGTTATATGATACTCACGATCGATGAAGTCACAGTATGAGGCATCGAGGAAGTATGTTTGAAGCCAACCAATGAGGGTGGGTGTTGGTTGACATCATCCAATGAGAGGATGTGTTATATGATACTCACGATCGATGAAGTCACGCCATGAGGTAACGAGGAACCATGTTTGAAGCCAACCAATGAGAGCGGGTGTTGTTTGCCATCATCCAATGAGAGGATGTGATATATGATATTCACGATCGATGAAGTCACGCCATGAGGTAACGAGGAAGTATGTTTGAAGCCAACCAATGAGAGGTGGGTGTTGGTTGACATCATCCAATGAGAGGATGTGATATATGATATTCACGATCGATGAAGTCACGCCATGAGGTAACGAGGAAACTAGGTTTGAAGCCAACCAATGAGAGCGGGTGTTGGTTGACATCATCCAATGAGAGGATGTGATATATGATATTCACGATCGATGAAGTCACGCCATGAGGTAACGAGGAAGCATGTTTGAAGCCAACCAATGAGAGCGGGTGTTGGTTGACATCATCCAATGAGAGGATGTGTTATATGATACTCACGATCGATGAAGTCACGCCATGAGGTAACGAGGAAGTATGTTTGAAGCCAACCAATGAGAGCGGGTGTTGGTTGACACATCATCCAATGAAAGGATGTGTTATATGATACTCACGATCGATGAAGTCACGCCATGAGGTAACGAGGAAGCATGTTTGAAGCCAGCCAATGAGAGCGGGTGTTGGTTGACATCATCCAATGAGAGGATGTGTTATATGATACTCACGATCGATGAAGTCACGCCATGAGGTAACGAGGAAGCATGTTTGAAGCCAGCCAATGAGAGCGGGTGTTGGTTGACATCATCCAATGAGAGGATGTGTTATACTCACGATCGATGAAGTCTGACAGTAAACCAGGGGCATGAGCACGAGGATCAAGAGGGCGAATTTCATGGCTGCTGATCTGAATGTACAGAGAGTGTCACATCAGTCTGACTCGACTGGTCGACAAATGGGCCTACCTAACTGTATAACTCATAGATTGGTAGATGCTGATTAAAAAGAGGGGGAATATAACATAATACGTATCACGGCTTCTTGTATTGAGATGAAATGTGTTGTCTACGCTTGGACTGACTGACTGACTGACTGAGTTTGGTTTTACGTCGCTTTTAGCAATATTCCAGCAACATCACGGCGGGGGACACCAGAAATGGGCTTCACACATTGTTCCCATGTGGGGATTCGAACCCGGGTCTTAAGCTTGACGAGCCAACGCTTTAACCACTAGACTCCCCCCGCCCGTTCGCTAAATATCTACTATCAAGCTGTCATTGTCACTGACTGACCGAACACCATCTTGTGGAGAACAGTGGCAGTATTTTCAATCAGTTGTATGTACAAGTTTACATCGTTTTGACCAGTATTCATGGAATATTCAATTAACCATTCCTGCAGAAAGGCCTGACACTTTGTACCCATTTTTGGAATCGAAACCGAACCTCCGGTGAGACAAGCGGACTGGTTATCCACTATAGTCCGTTTGGCTCAAAAGCGGACCGATGAATTGCAAGCTAACTGAAAACTAATAAACATATAATACTCAATGAAACGCTGATCATAATCAAAACATCAGACAAACTCTGTGATTTGTTTGCAGAATTTATGTTAAAATTAAAAAAGTTGTTTAACAAACTATCATTAAACTTTTGACACAGTTCACTATTTGTTAGGAGGGAGGAGTGCAGAGAAAGGGACAGCCAGGCGTTAAAAAAAGCAAGTGCCGACAATGTTATTTATTCATTAACCTGTGCTGTGCCGTCTCCATCCTTTCTCGCACACATGACTGTCCCTTTCTTTACAATTCATCAGTCCGCTTTTGAGCCAAACGGACTATAGGCTACCCACTGCAAAACATGTGAATGGTTGCAACTTACCGTAGTAGTAGACGACGCTGGAGACAAAGTGGGAGCTGAGGGCGACTTATATAGGTTCCACATCCAAGATAACCTTGCCCATCCTAATTCAAATATTTAGATAGAACGTGGTCTGTCAGTCAATTTGCATATGCAACATACTTGCATTTTGGGCACGAGGGGTCAGATAATGCAGCGGGGGTCAGACCACCCAGTCACGATTTAATCACACTGTGCAACGTTGCTAGAACCATGGAATACATTCAACCAACATCTCATGCATCCAATTTCCAGGGGTTTTTTTAAAGGACATTAATGTTGAGAGACAGGCCATTGTTATTTTCATACCATTATCTGTGATTTGTATTACAGGAGCAATCCTGGTTCCAGTCTACGTCAGTGACGCGTAGTTCACTACGTGTAACATTACTATAGAGAATATCACACGAGTTCTCGTTAGAAACTGTTGCAGGTACTGTGGGAAATTCGGGAGTGTCGTAAAAATATTATCTAACTGGAGCAACTGTGGTATGTTTTACCATGATTACTCTTCAGTTTAAATGTACCTAGATTACAAAATTGTTCGTTTGACAGACTAATCCAAATGTAAAAAGGCAAATATTATAGATAACAACTTCTTTTTCAGTGTATGTCACAACGTTTCTGGGCTATTCCTTGCCTCTTCGTCACGTGAATTGTAACAAACAAGATACATCAATGAGTATACATAGACTAATATACTAAATGTACAAGAAGCCAGTGTTGCATGTATATACAGTAAATTGGATAAGAAACAGGAGATGAAAGAGTGAGCTGTACAGAAGATAGGCATTGTTTATACAAGGGAAGATTTTTTTTATAAGTGATTAGCAGATGGAGATAGAAGCCAGTAATGAGCTAATTGACTTCCCAGACACTGGGCAGGTACACTCCTTGATCCCTGTTCAGCTGCGGTTGTAATTGTCTTATCGTTAAAGACTCTAGTAGTTTGCACTTGCGGCAATCATGGACAGTAGTGGTTAATACGGTTGGTTGTTGCCAGTCAATGTCGTGAGTAGGGTTTTGTTTCGATCTGCTCTGAGAGAGCTGATTTTTGGTCCACTTTTTGTACAGATGTTTTGAGGTCCTTCAGTCGTATGTCAAATGGGCGGGATGTTTCACCTATGTACAAGAAGCCACAATCTCATTGCAGTTTGTATAAGCATCCCCTGGGTCTATTTGGGGTCTTAGTAGAGGAAACTCGTCCATTGGCTCTCCGGGTGGTTTTCAGGGTATTATCGGAGTGGAATGTCACGTCGATGCTGGTAGTTTTCTTTATGAGACGGCTGATGTGGTGACTGATCTGGCCATGGTAGGGTATGTTGATTCTGATAGGAGAAGGTTTAGGTTTAGGAGGGCGTTCATCTTGTTGCTGAAGCGTTGAGGTTATAGTTCTTTTTACTAGATGTTTGGGGTAGCCGTTGAGGCTGACAAATGTTGCTCTGAGGTGGTCTATTTCAGCTGGGAGATGGATCCGGGGGTGTTGTTGGTTGAGGTGGTCGAGGTGGGGTCATGGTTCAGGATCTAAGATGGTGTAGGCATCATCCAGCTTTCTGAACCAATAGAGTGGTTGGAGAGGGATGTGGATTGGGCAGCAGACTCTTCGAAGCTGGTCATGGAGATCTCGGTTATCAGTGGTGAAAGAGGGGAACTTATGAGATCATAGATCTGCTGGTAAACGTTGTCTTGCAAAGTATACTAGCCACATAAAGAAACTGTGCATTGTCAAAATATAATCCCAGTTGACAAGTACGATAACAATGTCAAAGGTACATATAAACTTTAATGGAGGGATCATGAGACCATAACAAGTCGGGAGAATTTCAATTGAAAAGTCAATCACAATGACGTCACGAGTCCACAAGCGGGACAGGGGTCAAACGACCATGTCACAAGCTCAATAACGGGTATGTCCACCATCGGCATTGAGAACAGCAGTGCATCGACGACGCATAGAGCCTATCAAACGTGCAAGGAAGGCTTGTGGGATGTCATGCCAGATTCTCTCAAGTTCTGTTGCAAGGTCAAGGACGTTATCTGGCGGATGAGGAAGACGGCGTAGACGTCGATCCATCTCGTCCCAAACATGCTCTATCGGGGAGAGATCCGGTGAATTTGCAGGCCAAGGCAGTAAGTCAACGTTGTGGTGTTGCAAGAAATCCATAGCAACCCTTGCCGGATGAGGGCGGGCATTGTCCTGTTAGAAGGTTAACCCAGGGCCATGACGTTGCAGAAAGGAATTGCCACAGGTCGAAGAATCTGATCCCTGTAGCCCACACCAGTTAAGTTGCCCTGAACAATCACCAAAGGAGTTCTTTGGCGTGCTGTTATTCCACCCCAAATCATCACGGAACCACCACCACCAAAGCTATTCCTCTCCAAGACACAGGCCTGTGCATAACGTTCTCCCACGCGTCTATAGGCACGTTGACGTCCATCACTATGGGAAATGTTAAACCTGGACTCATCTGTAAAACAACATTTCTCCACCAAAACAAGGGTCTGCGGACATGATTTCGGCACCACATTCGGCGAGCTTGTCGATGACGTTGTGTCAGGATAGGCCGTATGGCGGGACGTCGTGGTCTGATCCCGTGATGACGTAGACGTTGTCGAACTGTGTTGGGGTGGATACGGCGAAGTCCTGGGATGGTTTGGGCAGTCATCACTGCAGTCTGAAACCTGTGGCGAAGATGGGTCACCCTTATCCATCTGTCCTGTCTTGGCGTTGTTACACGTGGACGTCCAGAACGTGGCCGATCGATGACGTCATTTGTGTTCTGGTAGCGTCTCACCAGTGCAGAAATGGTGTTCCGGTGGCAGTGGAAATGTGCAGCCACTTGTCGTTGTGACATTCCCCCACGGACCATCCCAATGGCCTCATGACGTTGTATGCTATTGCGCGTTTCAATAGCCGTTTAATTTTTTGAACGATCGCAAGGGCAGGGGTTGAGCTTTCTAAAGTGACAGTATTGTGTGGCATTCATTTGCTCTGTTTCTCTTTCCCGGAATGCACGTGCAACATCGTATTGCACGTCTCAAGGACGATCCCACTGACGTCACGGAACGTGGCACGTGCATGCATGTTGGATACATGTCACTAATCTCTGAGTTTAAATCCTTATGTGTCTACACAGGTTTGAATAGGAGGCGTGTCTATAGTCAGTGCAGTGTCCATGGTATTGATGCAGGAGACTAATTTGGCACGGAGGACGTCAAGGGCTTTGTCTGGTGGAATATTTGTGAACAAGTCCACAACATCATAGGTGACCATAGTGCCAGATACCTTAGAGTCCAAAAGTTTTTTGACAAATGTAGCAGAGTCGCCGATGAAGGACTTGCCTTCTTTACCTAAAGGTGAAAGTAGTTTAGAGAGGAACTGAGCAGTATTGTAGTATACTGAGCCACGAGAACATACAAGAATTCTAGTTTATACAGGCTTTTTGTGGATCTTAACAGTAGCACAAGCATATTGAGATGTACAGTTGATGGGATTGAGCTTATTGGGTCGTTCAGGGTGGTGTTCGAGGTTGATGAAATCAGGGGTGTCCATGCCCTGCCCTTGCGACTGCCTTGTCTGCTTCGGTGATAGTGATGGATGTGCCAGTGCGAAGTTCTGCTATGGCTCTCTGTTCCTGTGGGGAGATGTTGCTGCGTTGTTTCGGATCCAAAATGGTGAAAGGGTCAGCATTTACACCGCTTTTAGCAGTCGTAGTGTAACACTGCAAGGAATCGAACATGGAACAATCTCAACACTGCAGAAACTTCCAAATCCTACCTTGGATATAGAATGACTTTCATCAACGTTTAGTGGCCTCAGTGAGACGAAGGTGCCAGGCACCTTCAATACACAAGGTAGACCCTCCCGCCCGACCTGTGAACGTGCTTATGGACCCCCTCTTGTGTTGTAGCTCGTTTGCATATGCCAGATGCGCATATTTCTCTTTCCATGTAAAACATTTCATTCTCGATAGTAAAAGTTTAACACTGATTCTGTTTGTTTTTTGTGAGTCACGATAACCTTTGCCTTTGAGTATATATACTCGGCGTCATTACTGAAAGGTCAAGCTATTGATAACACTATCCCTTAAAAGTTGTAAAATATTCATTTTTTGTTTGAAATATATACAACGGGATGTTTTACAAACTTTCTTAACAGTATGTAAAAACACAGCAGGCAGTTATGTCATTATTACGTTCTTTAACGTCCGATACATTCTGTTACAAATGGCACATTTTCTATTCAAAGTTTTTATATGGAAATCCACCTGCCACTTAATGTCAATGATTTGCACGTGCAAGTCGCTCTATCCATGGAAAGTGGAGGACAATACACATGTAACGATGCCTTTTCACTGTCGTTCACTGTTCGGGTACCTGTTTGAAATCACAGCTTAAAATGAGACGTTGTGTGACATTTGCTGATTAGGCCTTTTGGAATCTGGTCAAACTCAGCGGCAGACTGCTGTCCGCTTTAATGTGAGTCAGAGTGCTATTGGTTGACTGTGGCAGAGATTTAGAACCAATGGGTCCGTGGAATATAATTAACACTGCATTACGTAACAGATTCCTTAAAGCAGCAGACACTTGAATGTTAACAGTGTAAGGATATCCAGTAGCACCGTTCGTCAACGTTGTTTAAGGGCAGCCGGACTCCGCTGTAGGCGACCTGCAGTTCGTCCACCACTAACACCACGTCACAGGCAGGCGCGTTTGAGATGTAGTAGACATCATGGCCGCTGGAATCAACGTCAATGGTCTCGTGTGCTCTTCACAGATGAAAGCTGATTCAATTTGTCCTTCCATGATGATCGGGGAAGAATTATCGTCGCAATGGAGAGCGTATCACAGATGCAACTGTGACCACGCATACCCGATTTGGCGGGGGGGTCGGTCATGGTTTGGACAGGGATAACTCCTACTGCACGTACTCCACTGTACGTGGTCGACGGTATTTTGTCAAACAAAATCAGTACTGGGGAGGCTACGATTTGAAATTTTTCAGCTGCCTCCTCCTGGACTATTACTTTCTTCTAGTTCGAGAAGTCTTTACCATTTCTGTTCTGTTAACTCAGGGATACTCTACAACAGGGATAGGTCACTCGCTTGCTTTCTTTACCATTTGTACTAATTAACGTGTGCCTCGTCATGCTCCAACGCACACAGTGACTTGGTTCGTTCCCAGCGCAACTTCGGCTGCGTTTAATGTACTTCAGCCAGTGTATTGTATCAGTCGGAATTTTACAATGAATGAATGAATGATGAATGAATGAATGAATGAATTAAGAGCAAGAATTATATGTGAATGAATGAAAGAAATAAAGAAAAAGTACAAAAGAAAGAAATACATATGTGAATGAATGAAAGAATAAATGATACACCACGGCCATCCCTCCCCAAACATGTTAAAGAACGCAAAACTATCGCTAGAACACATGTGTTAACATCAGCTGTCCTTTTTTGTAAAAATCTACTTTGAGACATTTTTTACATTAGTAACTAATTCAGATATCTTATTGCATGTGTGGAGTGGCATGGGCATTGACAGAATGTTAACTGACACTGTCACAGACCCCTCAAAAAACAGAAAGTTTAGAACTATCACAAAGCGTTGTAAACACCTTTCCAGTTTTGTCAAATACTAAGATCAACAAGAAAGAAAGAAGTTTTAGAACTATAACACTCAAGCATCACAAGCATTAATGCGTATCAGAACAGATCGGCGATATGTCATATTTTTCACACACCTCAAATACACCCTAACAAAACATTTTTAGTTATAAAACTATCACTATTACTTGCAAACACCTTTCAACTAAAGGTTTATTCCCCTTCTAAAAACTAAACGAATATGTGAAAGAAGTTTTTAGCGATAGAATTTAGTCTTTCTTCGCTGTGTACCGAGAATTGAAGCCAGGGAGCTACAACATGCCGACTTGAAACTTTACTACAAATCTACTGTACTAATACTGACACTAATAACAATTATTTGACTTAAAATGAAGTGACAAAATAGGTAACTTATCTTCTACACGTAGGATTTCAGTTGTCACAACACTCAGCGTATGTAATCAGCTGTTGAAAATAAACCGGGCTCAATCTTAAAATCTACGCTGCCGCCATATTGGCTACACTGGTCACGTGACGAGCCGAGGCATACGCTAAGGGACTTTCCGAGGAGTGACCACTCCCCCTTATATAGTCTCCCTGGTTAACTTAATCTTATTGGACATCTCTTTACTATTTGTTACCCTTGGCACTACCTTCAGGTTTATGTGGAACGAGGCATCCCTTAGTATGTGTCTCATATCTTCTGTATTACAGTTTAGGATTGTTTATTTAATACTGATTGCAACTACAGTGACTATTAAAGAATGTTTATAACATAGTGTGTCGGATATTTTAACTATTGCATTACGTGCAAACACTCTGCTGTTTAGTGACTGTTGTAGAATGTACATTGTATGAACACCCACTGGGGTGATGTCTAGATTGAATAGAGTGTGTATCCTAACTAGTACATTGCGTTATGAGCAATATGCTGTTTTGTGCGGTATGAACGCCCACTGGGATGGTGTGTAGAGTATTGAACAATCACATTACGTTGTATACTTTTGAATGTGTAAAATCGTTCAGTGACTGCTGTGTAATAAACTCTTAGTTTATTTACTCAGGTGTTGTGTTGTGTGTGGGTTGGTATGGGCAGACCTCTTGCCAAGCGAGCTGATTCCCCAAAACTCGCGTTTTAATAAACACATGATGACAATCACTGGATTGTCTGGTCTAGACACGATTCGTTTACAAACAACATCCTACAGCTGTAATACAGCTGAAACAAATATATACTCATGATATAGTCACAACTGTACAATCGACTCTGCTTTTAGCAGAGATTTAATTTCTTATGGATGTGGAAAGGGTATTGTCGCTACTATTTTCATGAAAAACGGCATTCTTATGCCAAAAACACGTTTATTTCCTGATTAGTATTTTACATCACTTTTTCTAGACGATGTGGAACTGCTTGACAAGGGACTGGAGTCTGGAACACATAGAGAAAAGTGTAAATATATACAGTCTTAGTATCTTATAACTTGGTGACAATCGACTCTGCTTTTAGCAGAGATTTCTTATGAACGTGGAAATGATTTTGTCGCTTCTGTTTGAGAAAAGCGGTCATATTATGGCCGTGTGACCATGTTGAGTTAAACGACATGACGTTTTATACATAAGCTCCACCACATGAAAATGTCTTTACGTTTTAACGCCACAATCAGAACTTACAGGCTTTTTGAATGGCCACGGAACCTTTACTACGGATTACAAACAAATGTTGAATACTGTAAAGATGTTGGATATAGACTTCGCAATATTTCTGCAATATCGTGGCTGAAATACAAGCAAAATGGTTTCATGCATTGTACCCATGTATGGAAACGAACCCATGTTTTCGGCGTGACGGGCAAACGCTTTAACCACTAGGCTAACCCACTGCCCTAATGATGGGGCTCCACTCACGATCTGCAGATGAGGTCGCAGCCGCTGGAGAGGAGCGCATTGTGCATCAGGATGGCTGTGCACTCCGTCTCACAAGCGGCCTCGGTGCCGTTAGACCCCACGTTGTCAGCAATCTTCTGGACAACGGCCTTCAGCTTTCCCACGTCAAACAATTTGAGGAACTCTGAATATAAACACATAATTATGTGGATGTGAATTTGTCATTAAATTACACTTACATCTTGCCCAAAAGATAAATTGTAAACATGTATTTGCTCAAAAGGGATCAAATGTTATAGATATACAAGGTATTTTAAGACACTCGCGAAAGCGAAATATGTGTCACATTATGACATCCAATGAGAGCGGGTGTTGGTTGATATTATCCAATGAGAGGATGTGTTATATGATACTCACGATCGATGAAGTCACGTCATGAGGTAACGAGGAAGTATGTTTGAAGCCAACCAATGAGAGCGGGTGTTGGTTGACATCATCCAATGAGAGGATCTGTTATATGATACTCACGATCGATGAAGTCACGTCATGAGGCATCCAGGAAGTATGTTTGAAGTCAGCCAATGAGAGCGGGTGTTGGTTGATATAATTCATGAGAGGATGTGATATATGATATTCACGATCGATGAAGTCACGCTATGAAGTAACGAGGAACCATGTTTCAAGCCAACCAATGAGAGCGGGTGTTGGTTGACATCATTCAATGAGAGGATGTGTTGTATGATACTCAAGGTCGATGAAGTCACAGTATGAACCATGGAGGAAGTATGTTTGAAGCCAGCCAATGAGAGCGGGTGTTGGTTGATATTATCCAATGAGAGGATGTGTTATATGATACTCACGGTCGATGAAGTCACACCATGAGGCATCGAGGAAGTATGTTTGAAGCCAGCCAATGAGAGCGGGTGTTGGTTGATATTATCCAGTGAGAGGATGTGTTATATGATACTCACGATCGATGAAGTCACGCCATGAGGTAACGAGGAAGTATGCTTGAAGCCAGCCAATGAGAGCGGGTGTTGGTTGACATCATCCAATGAAAGGATGTGTTATATGATACTCACGGTCGCTGAAGTCACAGTATGAGGTAACGAGGAAGTATGTTTGAAGCCAGCCAATGAGAGCGGGTGTTGGTTGACATCATCCAATGAGAGGATGTGATATATGATATTCACGATCGATGAAGTCACGCCATGAGGTAACGAGGAAGCATGTTTGAAGCCAACCAATGAGAGCGGGTGTTGGTTGACATCATCCAATGAGAGGATGTGTTATACTCACGATCGACGAAGTCACAGTATGAGGCATCGAGGAAGCATGTTTGAAGCCAACCAATGAGAGCGGGTGTTGGTTGACATCATCCAATGAAAGGATGTGTTATATGATACTCACGATCGATGAAGTCACGCCATGAGGTAACGAGGAAGTATGTTTGAAGCCAGCCAATGAGAGCGGGTGTTGGTTGACATCATCCAATGAGAGGATGTGTTATATGATACTCACGATCGATGAAGTCACGCCATGAGGTAACGAGGAAGCATGTTTGAAGCCAGCCAATGAGAGCGGGTGTTGGTTGATATTATCCAATGAGAGGATGTGATATATGATACTCACGGTCGATGAAGTCACACCATGAGGCATCGAGGAAGTATGTTTGAAGCCAGCCAATGAGAGCGGGTGTTGGTTGATATTATCAAATGAGAGGATGTGTTATATGATACTCACGATCGATGAAGTCACTCCATGAGGTAACGAGGAAGTATGTTTGAAGCCAACCAATGAGAGCGGGTGTTGGTTGATATAATTCATGAGAGGATGTGATATATGATACTCACGATCGATGAAGTCACGTCATGAGGTAACGAGGAAGCATGTTTGAAGCGAACCAATGAGTGCGGGTGTTGGTTGAAATCATCCAATGAGAGGATGTGTTATATGATACTCACGATCGATGAAGTCACGCCATGAGGTAACGAGGAAGCATGTTTGAAGCCAACCAATGAGAGCGGGTGTTGGTTGACATCATCCAATGAGAGGATGTGTTATATGATACTCACGATCGATGAAGTCACGCCATGAGGTAACGAGGAAGCATGTTTGAAGCCAACCAATGAGAGCGGGTGTTGGTTGACATCATCCAATGAGAGGATGTGTTGTATGATACTCACGGTCGATGAAGTCACAGTATGAGGTAACGAGCAACCATGTCTGAAGCCAACCAATGAGAGCGGGTGTTGGTTGACATCATCCAATGAGAGGATGTGTTATATGATACTCACGATCGATGAAGTCACTCCATGAGGCATCGAGGAAGTATGTTTGAAGCCAGCCAATGAGAGCGGGTGTTGGTTGATATAATTCAATGAGAGGATGTGATATATGATATTCACGATCGATGAAGTCACGCCATGAGGTAACGAGGAAGCATGTTTGAAGCCAACCAATGAGAGCGGGTGTTGGTTGAAATCATCCAATGAGAGGATGTGTTATATGATACTCACGATCGATGAAGTCACAGTATGAGGTAACGAGGAAGCATGTTTGAAGCCAGCCAATGAGAGCGGGTGTTGGTTGACATCATCCAATGAGAGGATGTGTTGTATGATACTCACGATCGATGAAGTCACTCCATGAGGTAACGAGGAAGTATGTTTGAAGCCAACCAATGAAAGCGGGTGTTGGTTGATATAATTCATGAGAGGATGTGATATATGATATTCACGATCGATGAAGTCACTTCATGAGGTAACGAGGAAGTATGTTTGAAGCCAACCAATGAGTGCGGGTGTTGGTTGAAATCATCCAATGAGAGGATGTGTTATATGATACTCACGATCGATGAAGTCACGCCATGAGGTAACGAGGAAGCATGTTTGAAGCCAACCAATGAGAGCGGGTGTTGGTTTACATCATCCAATGAGAGGATGTGTTGTATGATACT